CAGAAAGTGTACTTTTCCGCTGTGACCGTTCTAAAATAAAAACCTTCTCGCACCTTCATTTCTCGACCAAATTACTTCAGATTTTCAAAACTTTTCGCCCGCTCTGCAGTTCAGGAATGATAGAATTATTTATCATACTGAGATTTCACTTGAAGATCTAGTGGGTTTTCTGAGAAACCTCTCGAAGATCCGCTTTGTTTATTGTTCTGGTCGTGACATTTGACAGAACACCTTCTCTTATATTCACCCTTCAACTTTCATGCAATTTGGTTGAGAAATGAAGGTGCGAGAAGGTTTTTATTTTAGAACGGTCACAGCGGAAAAGTACACTTTCTGAAAAATTCATTTCTTGAAGTTTCTTTAATCGGAACAACAAAATAAACATGGTCACGAGATTCTCCATGGCCGAAAACCTATGTATCAAGTTATTTGAAAATTTTCTTACATAACAAGAAGCAAGTCCACGGATCCCAGGAAAATCCGAGCCTTATTCGAACAGTTCGAGATAAAAGATTCGGACCTACGTAGAAATGCAGAGGACAGTTCGGAGATTAGAGCCATGTTATCGACATTGGAATCTTTTTTTTCCTAGTTTGGTAATCTTCTCTTTCAAACATTAGAGAGATACACCATCTTCAGATGGTATACGGAACTAGGATTTTTCACAGAACCATTCTGTCAGGCCTTGGCTACACGATGGCGCAAGTCTCTATCTCATTGTTAAATAGTTATTAAAAAAAGGAGTTACTCCATTATATTTTTAAACGGACAGTAGTAACTAAAAACGCCTAATTATACCTTATAAAAGAGTTTACAACTTAAATCTATTTGGAACTGCTCTAATAGAATTTTTAATCTTTCTCGCCTTTATTTTAGCAAATATTTACGTTATTATGGGTATGGTACATCGTTGTTTTCTTATTAAATATTTATTCGTTGGGTTTATGGATCTATCGTCTAATACCATTCCGTAGTCGTTATGATTATATTCGAAATCGTATCACCCGAACATCACGGGACAGTGTGCCTCGCTTACGTATTAGGTTTAAACATGTTGACCCTAAATTAGGTGGCCATGTGCAGCATCAATTGGTTAAATCATTCATTAGAGAATATTTGGAACCCGATGGTTTCTTTTTTCTAAGACTGTTGACAGCGAATGCGAGTGATTTTGTAGTACAAGAAATTATTGAAGGTCTATGGACATATTATTTAAGCAAATATGGTGAAAGTGATGCAAAAAAAGCAGAAGAAAATTACTATGAGTTTCGACGACAGACTGGAGGAGAGAAATCGACAAATTCGCACACGAGAGCTCAGTTGAATAAAGATTTAATAGATTCGGAACGAAAACGCCTACATCAAACAACTGATTTTGATTCTAGCACAATAATAAATTTACAATCAGCTTTCAGACCAGTGAATGAAGAAGTATAACTAATCCTTTTATTTTCATATTTATGTTTCCAGCTTTTAAGATGAACTGATATATTTCAGACCATTCCTTTTTCAACAAACTGTATAATGAGACTAAAATCGTAACTTTTTCATCTCTCACTGTTTACTGGTACTCTTCTGTAGAGTAATTTCCGATACATCTATCCTTAAAAGTATACATCCATAACCAACAAATGATTATTTTAACTTGCATTTCCAAACTTTCAACCGCATACGTGTAGTCAACACTATGCTTAGGTATTTTTGATCTAGCTTACTTTTCTACAGTCTTTTTCTAGAGGAAAAAAGTCCAGTTTTAGAGTAAATTATATTCATCTCTGCTTGATTCCAGTTTTGTATAGATTTTTCTCACTGTTAACGTTATTGTTATTATTTTGTAGTGTTCAGTTGTTTTTCTACCGTGAATATATTAGTTATGAAATTGTGAAACAGGAAGTTGATATAAAGTGAAAAAAATTAAAGATAATAAACACTATTGAATTATTTTATGAGAGAGCGAGAACTTCACACCTTGTTTAATCATTTACATCTGAGCGATTGCGTAGATATCGGATATAATTTGAAATTTTTCATTAAATAATAAAAACCAAAGATTTCATATATACAATTTTGAAAAAATATATCACTTAATATAAAAGTAGAAAACTAATGCATGATGGTATGAAGAGCAAATACATTAGTAAAAGAACAGGTAACACACAACGAATACCAGATTCAGACAGGTAGAGAACCTTTAGCGTGCAACCGAATCTGAAGTATTCTCGAACAGACATGCGACGCGATATTTTATGATAATGTACAATTTTGTAAGTACGATTGTTATTCACTATAAAAAATAATGTGTCGCATAACTGTGTTGCAAGACCAAGAGGGAATATGTGTCACAAACGAGTGTCGTCATATGTCATTATCCGATATCTAGCGACCTCAAGCGTGCGTAAGTGCCTTTTATACGGTCAAACTTTATCTCAAGAAGCAGGCTCTTAGGGATTGTTAAGCGACATATTGACACTCAGGCACCGAGGTCAGGAGGAGGACGCCTTTTCTAAAACAAACTTAAAAATAAGCGAAAAAATGAACCCTATAGCTGGGAGTTGACAGAATCTAATTTTTAAAGAAACCTTCCCCGGGTTTTTCGGACTTTAAAATTCTATTAAGCACCAGAAATCAGTAAATGAAAAATTCATCTGTCAATTTCCAGGCATAGGTGTTTACTGCAAAACAAAAACAGCCCGAGCTCTCTGTCATTTACCTGGGAAGTTTCCTCGCAAAACAGGCCATTTAATGAGTTCTCAGATGCACGCTAAGATTGGCGAGGGTCATAACAACAACATGAAGAGGTGGTGATTGATGGGGGCAAAATTCGTTTCGTTGACTAATGTCAGTCCTGACATACGAGATCAAAAACGTTTTTATGGGCTGTCTTTTGAGATGCTCAAATCGAATATAAAAGATATTGCTTCGGCCGGCTTGGTCGGTGTTTTAACGCACCTTCTGTTAAACGATTTACTCTACTTAAAACATGATCTACGTGCGCTGTCCGGTCTAGATTTGACCTTAAAAAATTAAGCCTAACTGTTTTTGTTCAACAGCATAAGAAATAGGCGACTCAAAGAGAACTTTCTGTCTGCCTTCAAGCACAAACTTAGGTGAACACCGTTTCTGGACATGCTCGATCCGAATATCACGGTCGTCTGCCTTGAATCGTTGCGAAGAAAAGTGGGTAGTTTCCATTTTAAAAACAAAAATCCTTATGGATCTAATTAGGGGTTTACCAGCTCACGTTCACGAACTCCGTTCAAATGAGCGAAAGAACTGTTCAAAAGTTCTTTTCGAGCGAACTGAACTTTTCGAACAGTTCGTTTTGAACGAGCTGAACTGGTCGAACAGTTCTTTTGAGCGAACTGAACGTCGACTTTGGAAGATCTGTAATTTGGCCTAATATATCAAGATCTATCCATAGGACGTAGTTAAAACTTCTCAAGGTCTATTCATAGGGACAACCAGGACCTGTCAATGCTTATTCATACAGTATATCTAGGAGTCCTTTAACCTTATCCAATGGATAAGGTTAAAGGACTTTTTGAGGATGATCACAGAACTATGAAGATGCCGAAAACATTATCTAACCTATTTAAGCCTTTTATTTATTTGAATTCACAAATAACTGAAATTTAATATTATGAAAGTTATTGTGAATATATGAAATGTTTGTTGGTGTTATTGCAAAACTATGAAGCCAAATCACAATGTCATCAAATAAGAGCTTTTCTTTCTATCCGAAACGACATCATTTTTACTGATTTTTTTAAAAGCAACTAAGAAGTTTCTTCGAAAAATATTTGCATTACCGTGTAGTCACTGTGTGACTATGTCATTGTAGCAGCTGAAAGACGACGTTTAGCTCGTTCAGAAAGAACTGTTCGAAAAATTCAGCTCGCTCAAAAGAACTGTTCGACCAGTTCAGTTCGCTGAATATAGCGTTTTGAACAGTTCATCAGTTCTGAACGAAACCTGAACTTGGAAAGGTCTAGATCTAATAATGTTTCAGATTGCGTTATAAAACTGGTTCGCGCTGGTCAACTTCTAATTCTTCTAATATGTCTAAATGCTTTTGCTACTAAACTGTATGTGCCTTCGCATTAGCATATAGTGAAAATCATTGTAAGCTGAAAAACCTAAACAAACAATGTACCTATTGAGAAACTACGTGGTAATAGTTGTTCCAGACATCACTCTTGTATGTTTTCCATCGATAAAAATTAAAAATTTTGGGGAAAAGTTTCCCAGCTTACCCGCCGATTTCCTTTTTGCAGCTCGATTTTTTCTATATTTTAATCATCAATCACAGGCATCATCATAGAGACATTCGAACCAAGAGCTGAGAATAGAATCAAGCAGAGTGTACGCTCGTACAAAGCCCGTTATGTTGTAAATTTAGATCACTTTTATTGTTTGATGAATGTGAATGACTGCTGCAGTGTTATACTGATTTGATATTGCACTTGAACATCCAACTGTTGTTCAGTAACAACAGTACAAATTTTTGAAATTAGCTAATATTCTTTGTTCCATGAACATTTTTCGACATAAGTTAACGGTAGTATACCATGTTTCCAAGGACACTCGAGATGTTTTTCCTACTGCTTTGCATCGGAAAATAGTTTATCCCCTTGTCTAGTAACCGAAAAAACAATAAAGAAAGTCGTACTACTTAAAATGGACTATAAATAGTCTTATTTTTCCTCGCTCTTAACATATTCTAGAAACAATCACTATAACTTTTAAAGCTAAATATCTTCGAACAGTGTCGTAACTACGGGGGTGGGGACACTGGGTCATAACCCAATGTGATCTGAGCCTTCATGAATGTAAATGATGTTAAGGTTAAAAGGGTGGAATCCAGTGTATTGTGGAACCCAATATTACCCATATTATTCTACAATATTATTGGTCCCAATATATTGGGTATACAATAATATTAGGACCCAATAGTATTGAATACCCAACGTAGGAATACCCCTATAAGTTTTTCAGAGCTCTACATTGTAGTGTATGGTGCGGAGAAAACCATAGAGTTTCTTGTTCTTCTCTGAGATGTTGTTTCCTTTTCAAAAATTAATAGTTAAAGCGATTGTTAGATGTCAGTTTTCTTTTCCCCTTGACTATTGGTCAGGGCAGTATTTCAACATCTCTTAGTTCGCTTGTCTCTTCTTATTTATCCTTCTCTGTATTTTACATTGACAGAAAATCAACAATGTGATAGTTTATTGTGGATGATCACTATAAATAGTTGAATAAGTTATTATACGACTAGGCGTTTCTTACAAATTCTGCTAAAAACACAATATCTTCTAATACGTCAGTTAAGAGCTGGCATACAGGCCGTGCTGGTTTACTCTAGTCCGACTTCGGACAATTTACGCTTTTTCTCCTGGCCAAGATGTATCTCATACAGGACGAGTTGAAAAAGATGGCTGTTACGATTACTGTTAGCTACATTTATTTTTTTCATGGTCAATGCAAAAACTATTAACATTACATGTTCGAACATCGAGAACGACAGTTATATTCTATAGAAAAAACGTTTCCGACAATATTGGTTTTTTAAAAGTATTGAAGTTTGCTTAAATGAATGTTGCTGCTGATATCATAGTCCCGATATCCTCCATTGCATGTTTTCTTATTGACTCCTGATACACAAAAAAAGGCTCCGTACTATGTATGTATAAAGAAGAAATAGAAACGAAGAGTATACTGGAGTCAATAAGAAGACATTCTTATTGACTCCTGCACTCTTAAAAAAATGCGACTTAGGATCAAATTAAGTCGCATTAATGTGTCTTATTCTGTGCAAATAAGACACATTAATGCGACTTAATTTGATCCTAAGTCGCATTTTTTTAGTGTGTGTTCTCTAACAAGGACCAGAGAAATAATAAATGTTGCGTTGATGTTCTCCGGTTCTTTGGTTTGTAATTCATTTTGCTGCTTCAATTTTCGTTGAATCAAAGTTCTTACTGTGGTATCTACTTAATTTTACAGGCTGTATACTTCATTCTAATCGATGATGTGATTTTCGATTTTGTTAGACGAAACAAGAACTTACTTTTTTTTCTTACATTCTAATTCCGTATTCGTCTAACTATCCTAGTGAAACTTCTTGTACCCAAGATTTTGGATTCTTGTATCCTTCACTCAAGATGTTGCAAGAGCTTGTGTGAAAAATTTTCTTTACATTTTGTTTTTATTTATGACAGTCATAGCCATCGGATATACGATCATATAGAGTGATAGATTCTTCCTTAGACAACTATGGTCAAACAAGAAAAAAATTCGAAGTTATTCTAAGTATGACAATATTCTCACTCATGTTTACACAAGAGTGTAAAACTAAACGATGCTTCAAGAATTTCCAAGATCTTGGTACAAGAAGTCAAGAAATTACAAGATGTTCAAGGCCTCGACTTTAAATTTCTTGAATTCTTACATTTTCTTACTAAGATCTTGAATCAGATCTTACTGAAAAAATTTAAGGAGACAAGATCTTGGCTATCAGAAGTTTCACTAGGGTACTTTTACGATCACTAGTCAATAGTATAGTGAGTGATTCACCAAACGATGAACGTTACTTTGTCTGATTGCCTGCAGAAAAAAAAGTGATTTTCGTTGCAATGTTGTTTACTCTTCTTATTATTCCGTCTCTGCTTTAAAACTGTTTTTCCTTTTCATTCACATATTGTCTGGTTTTTCAAAAAGCGGCGTGACGGTAAATTTAGACTAACAGTAGGACCACATCATAAAATAACCGGTCAAAAAGCAGTAGAGATGTGTGATTCCGGGCTGAAAACGCTTTTTTCATGTATGAGATAAGATTCATTTGAACGCATTCCGATTATAGCACATACTAATCCTCTTGTTGTTTCTCTCAGTATCTGTTCCTAGCTACGTCTGTAAGAGACAAGGTTTCAGCACGAACCAAAACGAATGTTGGTATATTATACGTTTCAATTTTACAAACAGGTCTTTTCTATTGATTTTTTCACGTTTTTCACTCATTCAGTTCTTCTAGGTTTTGTATCCATCAATATCTTCAACTAAGTAGTAACCAAATGGTTCTTCGTGCTGTTTCGCTAGATATAATTTGAATGTATTTAGTGATTTCTTGTATCTCATACTATTAGGTTGTGCATGCTATTAGTACAAGATTGTTCTACTTCAGTCGGTTCCACTCTGTTGTGTTATAAACTTCACGTAGTGTAAGTGCTCTCTAATTGTCAATAGCTTTCTCTTGTTAGTTGACTTGAGCGCATTGAATAGTATACGATCACGGTTTTTCTTCCAAACTGATAATTTTGTATTCATTTAACGTTCTATTCATGCTACTTTACAGTTTAAAAAAACAACAACTGTACATTCTACAATTTAAGACTGTAACATTCAAATACTTATGCAAAAATTAGCTATCATTTTTTCAAAAAACCTAATTCTATTACTTTACAATAAGTACAAACTTCTACGATAAAAGATATTACTATTTCAAGAATGTATTTAGGATTTGTTATTTAATAAACTCATCTCAATTTCTTGAGTAAATCTTGTTGTCTGTTGTAGTATATCATTAACATATTTTTGTGTATACATAGGCGTGGAGTACTGATCATTAATGGTGGTGGATACTGGTGGTAATAATGACGAAGAATTGAGACTAGAATTTGTATCTCTTAGTTCATTCATTGTTGAATAATGTTTTAAAACAAATAATTCTTGTTCAATACTAGACATTAAATTCCTTTGTCTATCAAAACGTTTTTGTTCTAATATCCATAGACACCATTCAATTGCACCAGATATGTATCTTCAATTGTAGATGAAAAAGGTATTAATATCGGATGATTTTACTTTATAAAAGTTATACGGTAGTAGGAAAGCATACGACAGATGCAGAGTGGTCATTTTTCCATAGAGCAGGGGAACATCTGATTTTTTGAGTTAAAAAATGATTACTTTCGCATAATGTAGTCTTATTATGCGTCAGATATTAATAAAAGTAAAAAAATCGAATTCAAAAATAATCTTTATTCAATAAAAAATGCCTTTGGGGGACCCCTGCCCTGTATTTTCGTCAAAAAATGTTTTATTTGTAAAACTAATTGTAATAAATTATATATCATTCACGCTGATTCCAAATTTCACATTATATCCCTAATAAAACGTTTCTCACCCGAGAAAAATGGAAAATACCTGAAAACCTAGCGGTTCTTCAGAAAACCTGTATCTAAGTCCAGAAGAAAAACCGCATCAAACTGCATCCACCATAGATGCATGACATGTGGACGGTCATTTTGGTATCATTTTCAGTGGAACTAGACCTTAGCTAACTTTAGCGATTCGATTATGCTGAAGACAGCCACCGGAAACATCGTTTGGGTTCGGAAAATACCTTATTAATAGTTGCTCTGAACTGAGATATTTTTTTACTGGTAGATATTTGAAAGAGACTAGGTCCCGAATATATACGTTTTACAAGTCTACATTCCTTAGTGTTATAAAAAAATGTTTTTCTCATGGAAGTCACTTCTGTCTAGGTCGATTTTACGTAATTTGATGATTAATGTAATTTCCGAAAATTCGCCGCTTGAAACAAATATTTTTGGGCCATTAGATAGCCTATCTATCGAAGTATATTTGACACTATTTAAAGTTTGAAAATGCGTATTGTCGGTTTTTTGGCAAATGTCCGCCTGGATACCCACTGTGAGGTGTTTATTTTTTATGATCAAAAAGCTTCTACGAACAACAAATGTGGTGCTTCGTAACTGATCAATCATATATAGATATATAGAGTAAATAAATATTTGGTCTAATAAATATGTAAAGAGACGTTTTCCCACGCACTAATTTACAACAAGTCAATTCACGAAATATATACCTATACTTTATGTCAGTTTTCAATATATCTATACTTTTAAGAGACAAAAGAATATTCTGTCAACAAATATCCCAAGCAAAAACGACCCAATTTTTTGGGTTATTTATCTAGATTCAGCTCCATGTGCATCTAAATGTATGTGGAGCTGAATCTAGATAAATAACCCAAAAAATTGGGTCGTTTTTGCTTGGGATAAACGTAGACGATCGGCAGCGCTCTATTAAGAAACTGTTTTGAGTGTGAGTCCTCTCTTACTTTAGATAAATTCCAGAATTTGATGCATTGTAAATCTCAATTGTTTTATTGTTAATGGTTAATCGACAACGAAAATCAAAGTGATTCAACTAAAATAGAATAAGATAGTACAATGAAATAGAGTGACAGAGAACACATGATCAATAATAAACAAATAGTTGTTGTGCGAGACACAGAATGTGTCGCTTTGAGGAAATTTTGAACTCATCGTACTTCGCAAGAAAAAAGAATGTAATCATTTCAATTTTCCGCAGAAACATTGACGCAGGCTCGCTCTTTCCTTCTCCATTATTTATTCACTGTAACCTGCTTCATAAACTCTCGGGCAGGCAGAAGATGTGAATATCAAAGATTAGATTGGATGTATTTTCAGGAATCAAAACTTTCACATATTGAAGTTCGAAGACAAATTTTTTATCCGATTTAAATGTGTAAAATTGTTGCTGATACATTATTTAAAAGAAAGTTTTATATCACGTTACGAAATTGAAAAAATTCTATTTAAGCTGATGATATCACAAGTTTAAGCTCAGTTATAAAGTACCTGACATAATTGTACTTGATCTGCTGCTATATCGACAATGTGATTCGAACAATACTGTATTTGGACACTATTATCTTCATAATAAAGAAAATGACCGACTTTTGGAACAACTATTTGTTTATAGATTGGTTTATTGCTGATACACATTTCTTTATCATTCATCTAAATAAAACAAATAAAATGATACAGAGCAGATCCTATCACTTTTTTCTCTTAGCTATTCGTATCACTGAATTGTTATCTATTTGAATGTTGGTAGTGAAAAGATATTTTATTTTACATTTAATTCTCTATAATCTTGCATTAGTTCGATTTTCGAAGTTTTAACATGTTTTTGGCTATATCGACGCATTCAATGAACGCTTTTTTTTGTGTTTTTAAAGTAAAGTTCAACTTTCTCAAATACAACAGCTTTAGTTCAATAAATACCGTTTGTTCTTCCCAACAGGGAGTTTCTTTAACATATTTGGACATTGTTAGCATTCTTTGACGCATAGTTGACATAAAACTGATTATATGTTCTAACTGTTCATTTTGAGGTGGTAATGAACATTCAGATATTGTTAATAATTGACAAATCTAAAATCAAAATAGTTTTTGTTTAGGTTTTGAGTGTCTATCAGAATTTTTTACCTACAGTAATGTGAATGAATGTGTTAAACGTCAACTTTTTCCTTCGCCTGATCTCGTCAGAGCTTTCCAGCGAGTTTCTCGTCTCATACGCATCTCTGATGTGTTCGAGAAACTTCTGTTCTGTTTTCATCTTCCAACCTAAGGATAGCTTTTTGAAAGAACAACATCGAGAAGTAGAGTTCTGCGGCTTTAGCTTTTTCTAGACTCATATCCGTCCAGATCCAAACCAATGGCAATTCGAATCCGATCCGCTCTCGTATTTTCAAAGTTTTCATACTCGCACCTGTTCCCGCGGATTTCCAAAATTTCTTAGAATTTGTTTTAACGAAGAAACATTATTGTGCTGAATCAGAGCCACTAAACTGTTAACAAACCATATGTACGTTCAAACAAAGTCGTTTTATTCCCCTTGTAACATGCTTGTAAAACTACCATGTTGAACAAAAATAGAGTCAAATCGGGCACGATTGATAAATAGGAGATTCATCGTTGGAATAATAGATCCTCATAACGCATGTCACTGCAAATCTGTCAAGCGTTCAGTCTGGTTTGCAAGCAACTTCACACTTTAGATTAGATAATAAATCCAATAAGCATAGACACAGATCAGCAAAACATTTTTCAAATTCAAATCTGCATTTAAAAGTACGAGTTTAGAACAATTTTAAAGGGTTCCACAAAGAAAAGTTCACTTTTTGACATTTAAAAATGTTGTTCTGAAAAAATAGTCACAGAAATAATTCTAGTACTACTTACATTTGCTTTCATACAATAATAATTGTAGAATACGGTTTGTATATTAGTTGTAACAACGTAATCTGATGTACCGTTGGCAATAGCTTCGATACTTTGAGGTTCATCATAGCACATTCTAAATAAATAGAAAAGGAACATCATTTGTTTCAATTCAAACAAGCAGACGAAAAATCATCAGAAATGGAATAGACAGAGAAAATCTAGTCTTACGTTAAAATATCAAAAGTAAAACTGATAATAGAAATGATGTAAAAACAAATGTAAATTTTTTAGTGCCATAAAGTTAAAAGCTATCATAACTATTTGTTTTGTCAATTCAGAAACAACAAGAACAACACGAGCGGTTTATCACTGAAAGATATAAATATTCTATTCGTCTACTACCTGTATGTCATCTGTTTTGTTTTTAGTATTTTAATGTCCGATTCAAACATCATATCATATAGACGATGTTGATTAGCTCGTTGACAATTGGTCGACAATGGTTTTGGTAATTCAAAACATAATTTATCATCATTATCACTATCAAATAATGTACGTTTAACACTATGATGTTCCTCAGCTTCTTCTAATTGTTCAATAAATTCTAGAAATGATGTAATAAATGATTTTAAATAGATTGGACATTGATCAACTTTGAATAAACGTTGTACAGGTGCAAATACATTGATATATTTTGACGTTGGTTCATCTTTATCATCTTTATAGGGAATGCGAGAAACTTGTATAGGATGTTTAACATAAACAATTTGTTTACATTTTGGAAGTAAAATTTCTGCACGACCACATATAGATGTCCATGTGTAATTTGTTCTATTATCAATGGGTAAATTTGAGTATGACCAACGTACATGTGTTGGATCAGCTGTTGTATGCTTAAAATAAACAAAAAGATATTTATTTGATGATGAAACAGTGGAACATGTTTCCAATTTTGTTTATGAAGCGTCACACGAACAAAATCTTTAATTTAACTATAATGACGAATCCATCAATCGCCAAATGGTATTATAGAGAAATGTGTGTCTGTAGTGAACAAGAAAAAAGAGAAATGAGCGCGTATGTGGTAAGCAAAACTCATACATCATCATATACGTTCGAATCTTTGCATTTCAGAAATAAAACCACACACAATGTTGTATAGTTGATTCAAATTTAAACCATATACTCTTTTAACTTGTAATCAAGATTGTACGCTACAGACCTGTATATTTCATCAGATTTACAAGAATCGATATTCATAATTACTCATGGTAATCGTTCATTAAAAATCCTATGGCTAAGTTTCAAGCAACGGCGCAGAATTAAGGTACAATATACTACTTCTTCTCAAATCATTTTTGTTTACATATAGTTTTTGATCAATATCTGTGATTAGTACTTTAATACGCATTAGTAGCTAAATTAGGTGAAGATTCATTTTTCAATATCAGAAATGAAAATATTTTCAAGTATCAACACCCTAGAAGAACACTCTGTCTCGTAAATATATCTATTCGTTTAGAAAATTGCATTAGTATTTATTACACTGTGATTAGTTAAAAATATTAATGATCAAACAAAAGAGATAATAGTATTTTGCAATTTTCTTATGCACAACAACTTCAATGAGGAGGTTTAAATAGATATTTTTCACACATCAGTCTCTCGTCAGTTCTTTTATTTCACATTGTAACTTTCCATTTCCTTGGTAATGATGTACTCTCTTTCCAGTTACAAAAAATTTTTTTTTTTTAAAAGCTAATGGGTGAAAATTACTTACGTAACATTGACTTTTATCAACGAATGCTGCTACTAAAAATGGTATTTCCGCAAATAAATTTCGAAATTCAATAATTGGTTTTATACGATCAATTAGAGAACTCGTTGTGTAAATTGTACGATGTTTTTCATTCAATAAGCCTAAATTGAAAAAAAAATACTTATGCACTATAGAAAGAGAGATAAAAGTACTCATTTTACCATTCGCCTGATTTCCATTTTGAAATACATACTCCGTCCCACATGGTGATAAATAGATTTTGCAACCATCAACAAATGTTGCTTCTATTGCATCATTCACATACATCAATAACTGTTTAAAAATGAAGAATTGATCCATAAACAAGTCTAAAATGAGATCATATTATTATATAAAATCACAAAGTGAATCATAATTCAGATTGATAATACAAAAAGAATCATCTCAAACAATCAGAATATTTTCTATTTGCAGAAAAACATTTGACCACTAAATTCATAAGCCGCTCAACGAGTGGAAAAGAGTAGAAAATATTTTTGACATCTAGTTTACAACTACATGGGTTTTACTTGTTTGAACAAGACTTAAGTGGTCTATATCAAGAAAACAAAATAATGAATAACATATCGCAATTTTGCTTGTTTTCGACCAGTATTGTTCAGTAGTTCAGAAAACTTTACATTATACTAAAAAAGCTCATAAAAAAATAACTTGCTCGAGACTTCTTACACATATGCTGTAACTCTTTATCTTTTCTCGCTTTTGCTGTTACTTCACGATCTGAAATTGATATTCGTATAAATTTCTACGATCAACATCGTCAGAGATGCGCTATACCCTCACTTTTATTCAGAATTATTTCGGTTTCAAAACTACATAAATCTTCACCGCTAAAATCAGATAAAGAACGCCCTAATGAATGCACTTGCGAACGGGTACTTGTTTACTTTCAACCTTCTGTGAATAATTTGACCTGTATTATAATAACTTGACAAGTTTTTTTTTTGTAAATACATTATTTGATAAGTACTTGTAGTAAACAAATACTTGAGAAGTGCTTGCTGTACTTGGTTCTTTTTAGAGTCGTGTTAAGTTCTTGCAAACCACATCAATACTATACTTTTTTCAGGATACTCGAAGTATATAAACAAATAGTGCTCGGCCCAGATTGACAGCTAATAATACCACCACTCATAGCTCAGCATTTGTACTCTCTAAAAAAAGATTACTACCTAACCTTTATCGTTTGCAACAAAACGTTTTATATAATACGGTTTAATTGGCTGTTGACAAAATAAAGCTAGCATACAGGACCCTAAGAATAAGTTCTTCCTGAAAAGGTTTCGGATCCAACGATCTCTTGTCTAATTTCTACAGACAAATTTAATATCTCTCTCTTTCTTCCTTCTATTATTCGACATGTTAAAATAAAAATTGTTCGACCAACGCATATTATTTGTTAGGTACTTTCCAAGAACTTCAAGTACTTGTAGAACTTATTCACAGACAGTACTGCCGAAGCACGTGATTTATTTGTCAAACTTCCCACAGGTACTTGCGGGTTATTATAGGTATGCACCAGTTTTTAACTGGTGTTGGGGTATCCAGAAAAAGTGCTATGTATCGGTTATCGAGATTCTCTCATAGCTGCGGAACATCTCATTTTGTAGAAAAATGTTTGCTCTACAAAATGCATTTGTTCAAAAGATTTCAAAGGTATTTCTAACAACACTTAGAGCATTCGAAAATACATGAAACCACGGGGTAAAACTGTTCGAACAGTTTTTTTTGTGATTTGGTGCATTTTCGAATGCTCTAAGTGTTGTTAGAAATACCTTTGAAATCTTTTGAACAAATGCATTTTGTAGAGCAAACATTTTTCTACAAAATGAGATGTTCCGCAGCAATGAGAGAATCTCGGTAATCGATACATAGCAATTTTCCTGGATGCTCCGACATCAGTTAAAAATTGGCGAATACCTAGGTTACTTGGAATGCCAATTTGGTTGTGAATTGTACTGACTAAAATCGAACAGTGTTCGAGAGAATACACAAAGGACAGCAGACTACGATCAGATACGACTCGATCAACCAAAAACTGAGACTTAAGAAATCTTTATTTTAATAAGATTGAGCTACCCTATGTATGAAAAGGAAGGTGTCACAGATGAATTTTCACATTGATTGTTTGCAGTTACGCGTTAGTTTATCATCGATCTTGTGAAGATTCTTCTTAACAAAGATGGCCATGATAAAAGGACGATTCTTAACAACCGCTCTCTACATAGTTGCAGTAATAATCTAGTAATCTATTTTTGCTGACTAATAACGAAAAACGCTGTTATTAAGAAGAAAAATACTATAGAAAAAACTCTGTAGTGTAACGTACAGTCTGCTGATTCTGAGTAATAAATACTACCAAGGATGTAAGTAGGATAGATGTCGCATGTATCGGAATCTTTGAGGCAGTGAACCAAATCAAGTTGGTTAATTTTCACTTTATATCGTATAAAAGATGTCATAAAAAGGAAAAGAACAGAAATAAAGTTAGGATCCTCCCAGATATAGCATAAGTTTAAGAGAAAGTGTTTTTACGAGAAAGATTTTTCAGTCTGACTTTATTGACTTTTCCGAAAGAAACTTCGTAGAGCAGAGTTGCCAGATGGTCCACATTTTGCAAACAAATTTCGGATTTTTGAGGTTTTCCTGCAATTTGTCCGCTGTCTGCTATTTGTTCGCATTTTAAGCATTTTCTGTTTCTTCCCTGAGTCTAAAATTAAACTCGTCGTTATCATGCACTGAAATTTATTTCTTATCAACGCCAGAACTACTTAAACTTAAGCATTCTAATCAAAAATATACAGCCAAAAAACGTGTCAATTAAAATCGAGATTTACATTTCTGTTTGTTGTTCTCTACAAAGTGCTAGAGAAAACATTTTTTTGACTCTCTGCGCGTGAAATAAAAAGAGGATGAAGTTAAGTTAAACCATGAAAATGGGTTTCCATTTTTTTCCGCATTTTGGAATTTTTATTCCGCATTTTTTACCTGAGCATCTGGTACCTCTAGCGTAGAGCGTAAAAGCGGATATTTTTCAGCAATGCAGTTGCATATAAAAGGCAGAGGGGTTGCTAAAAGAAGTTCTTTCCTGGTGAAAAAATGTTCGTTTTTCTCTGTTTGAAATTCTAGAAAAGATATCGAAATAATGTTTTTAACAGCCAAAGTTTCACTTGAATCCAAAGTGACTGAAGTCAGTTCATCAAGTTTGCTGAGTCTTTTGTTTGAAGTCCGAGTTCCAGTCCAATTCATGGAAAAATGGGACTCTAGTTCGCTCAGTGCTACTATACCAGAACGAGACTAACAAGAGTATTAATGTTTGACGTGTAAAATATAGTCACAAATGGTAACAAGAGTAAACGGAACCCGTGAACAATGATTGCTTTCAAAGTGATTGGTACCCTAGTGAATGTACTTATGCGTGAGTACTCAAAAAGTATTTTGCTCTAAAAACTGGACGAGTACTCATACATTTTGAGTACTTATGAGTGAGTAATAACTACTGTGGAGACGACTTTGAGTACCTCTGTCTCTCGTAAAAAAATGAGAAAATTTGGGTAATATTTACGACTTTGGGATGGAATATTCGGTGCGTGACGGACATGACAGAAAAAGGCTCTAAATTGCGAGTATATCAAATTAAACGCTTATTTCTTGCGAAACTACTTGAGCAAATGGAAGCCGTCTACAGCGAAACATTTTAGAGAAGCTCACAAGTTATCCAATATTATAAAAAATTTTCTTCCAAAGCCATTTCCTCGCTTATAAATGTCAATAAATACATGCCTATCGAATGGTGTGAATTTTAAGCTTTTTTAAAAAATTCTTTAGGTCAAAAATCAGAATAAAATTTTTAAAAATTTTGGCAGCCAGAGTTGGACCACAAGTCTATTCACAGACGATCGAGTACATCTCTGACTATATACAGAGAGACCAGCAAGAAAAATATAATATAAATATTCTATGTTTCTTTGCGAAATTCTATGTTCTTTATACAGTTTCATTTTTCCAAAACAAAATGATGAATGGATATTTTCTGAGTACTCACATGGGTAACTGAGTACCTACTGAGTAAAAATACTCAAAAATTGTTAGTAGAACTCATATGAGTACTCATGGACGAATTATGAGTAAAGTCGTACTCATAGTATGAAGACTTCCACTAGGGATAGAGATACGATGCAGAAGCAAAAAACAGTAAATTTTCCAATTTTCAATTGCTTCAAAGATAAGTGAAATAATGGATCCCGGAAATCACAACTGAAATAACATAACAGCTAAAGTATCGATATCTTGAGTGTTAGTGCACTTCAGTTCAGTTTATACTCTTCGTATCTTTGATCGTCAGTGGATTCAGGACACATTATTCAAATAAACGGGACTGTTTGTCTACAAAAGTTGATTTAATCATCAGTAATCACCAAGACCTATGTCCTGACAGAGTCGCTAATTCAAATGTCCGATATCCGCTGCTCTTAAAAGTTAATGTTAGTCCGCGAAAAACTATCTTGAGATTTTTGATATCCGTCTGTTCTTCCACTAAAGAAAAGAATACGTTTCAAGACTTTGAGTCCTTTAAAATGACTGAATTCATTAGTCATTTGTGTAAGAGCCATTGCAGATATCGGTATCAAAGTTGGACAATCAGATTTTGTCATATAAGTGAAAATTGGAAGATGATGGATGATGATGAGGGGAAAAGATTTATGTTTCTAGATTTTCTCATTATTTTGACTTCTTTTTCTCTTATAATAGTTCAATAAATTTAGATTCTGCTCAGATACGATGAGTGATATTTCAATCCTTTGTCGTCTCTTTTTTTGCATATTTTATAGTTGTGATTCTCGTGTCTCTATGGTTTTAAAAAAAAATATGTACTAAAGGTTTTGTCGATAATAGGAGAGCATGATGCTGTTGATATTCGATAACTATTATTTTATTTGACGAGGTTTCAAAATAGTCGTATTTGATAGCTATTTTTTCTTTGTTTCTTTCTTGGTTGTGTTTGTGTTACGATCAGTCAGAATGTATGTTGACCCTGCCTATTTCATGCGCCGGTGACTTTCTCTTCTTTTCGTAAACCGATAACCTGGATTAGATGCAATAGAAGAAGCGATCCAGAGCATGCAAAAATTCAATGTAGTCATCTACTTAAAGCGCTTTTCTCTCTTTTTTTGTTTGTATTGACTGAAAATTCATAAAAAAATCAAGTAAACATTTATGGATATAAATATAGAACAAGACGAAAAGTAATGATAGCACTATAAAGTTAGTTATGTCTGCAGAATAAGGTAAGGCATTAGGTGTAAGAAATTATTCATGTACACTTTGGGATATCTGTCTTTCTCCTTAATTTGTGTTTTTTTCTAGTCTATAAGATGAGTTCTTATGAACATCATAATATATGATGGTTTTTAAAGCAACCACAAGAAAAGTTTTTAAACCAAAACTCAGTAAAAGATGCATTGTTCAAAGTATGTAAATACGCATATCGGCTGCTATGCACCCCTACGTTTTTAACGAATAGGGATTTCTTCTTAAACGTGGTTTCTTTGAAATATCTACAATTGAAAACGCAAGATTCTGCTACACATCCGAGCTCTGTATGGGTTGGAATGAGTCAAGAGTTCGAAACCAGTCTGAAACCAAGGACTCAAACACTAATAGAAATGGTAGTGCCTAAAGATACCCAGTTCTATTAATTAAACTAGCTTACAAAATACATTCCATATCTAGCTACAACAACCGCAGTAGAAAGACAAAATTAGCTCTGTTGGACATGTTGTAACTGGATGAAGATCACAAATAATTTCAGAACAAGTTGATAATGTTTTATTGATTCATTCAGTTGAGCAAATAAACAGTTTATTGAGAAGAAATAACTCTTTAATTTTATTTATTTTTTCTTCGCATTGTTTCGGTTTCATAGAGCAGTACAAATGTGCTTGTTTATAAACAGATTTCAATACTCTTTTATGTGTACTAGTTCAAGAAGATACAAATGGCTTTATTTGCAATTTGTCATCTTTATTATATGTCATAAGACACGAGACTGGCAAAAAACATTTACAATAGTCATTTGGCCATTTGTTCAATCGACTGAACTTAACTTAAAATTTTGAGTCCGTTTGCAGATCTTCTACTCATCATCATACCAAGGTCTCCTGTATATGTTGTTTATCTTTTTAATTCTAGATACAATTAGCTGTGATACTCTCTCTATCTTTTTTTTCATCGATTCACTTTAATCTCTACTAAAATACAATGGCTAACGCAAAAAGTGTTAAAATACATGTAATTTATTATTCAATGTACGGTCATATTGCTCAAATGGCTAAACGTGTTCAAAAAGGTGTTGAAGCAAGTGGTGCACAATGTGAAGTATTTCAAGTTCCGGAAACATTATCTCAAGATGTTTTAGACAAAATGTATGCGCCCAAAAAGGATGAGAAAGTACCTGTTATTACCCATGACAAACTCCGCGATGCTTTAATCAATTGTGATGGAATTATTTTTGGTTATCCAACACGGTAATAACGAACTTTCTTACCAATGCAACATGACTCATCTTTTTTTCATATTGTTTTTAGTTTCGGAGGAATGCCAGGTCAAATGAAAACATTCTGGGATCAAACTGGTGGAATGTGGATGAAAGGTGAATTGTTAAATAAACCATTTTCAATATTTTTTTCCTCATCGACACAAGGTGGTGGACAAGAGACAACAGCTTTGTCATCGTTATCAAATTTTATTCATCATGGTATGATCTATGTACCAATCGGATATTCATGTAAACAATTAGGTGAAATGAATGAAGTACACGGTGGTTCACCCTACGGAGCAGGTAAGCCAAACAAAATAACAATAAATTCTGTGTCAAAGGTTTGTTGTATTTAAGGTACACTAGCAGGCCAAGATGGTTCGCGACAACCCACTGCTTTAGAATTAGAGGTAGCCGAAGCAAGTGGCAAGCATTTCTCTGAAGTAGCCATAGCATTAAAAATTGGCCGTGAAGCATTACCGAAAAAAGAAGCAGCAACACCGAGTGTTCCACAAAAAGCTGTACAGAGAGATAGAGTTTAATAGACAAATAATTAAATTTCTTTTAATGTGACATGGATCAGAAATTTTTATAGTTTATTAATAAAAGCACAACGTCGATTTGATGGGCAATGGATAAGACTTTTTTGAGAAGAGAAATCTTTTTTCTCTTAGCGACTGCCAACGTGTTGCCATAAATATTGGCAGAGATATCGTGGTGACATATGAACAATTTGTTTTATGGAATACAAATTTTTTTGGTTAATATGACAAGATATAGAAAACTGTCGCAGAAAATAAAACTATTAATGTATAACAGTTTCCTTGTGCTAAGAATGCAGTGCCAGCCGATTCGATGTACTTCAATCGCATCCGATTTCTGCTGAATTGAGCTTTCGGTTATGCCCCAGAGCAGGCTAAAGCGTAAAAGGAAATGCTGAGCAATAACAAAAAATTCTATTATTAAGAAGAAAAATACTATCATACTTGTTTTCGTTTTCTTTCCAGTACAACACTTGATAGAGCAGAGGATTCATAACTGAGTGGACTAAAGAGTAGGGGTGGTACGTTCCCGTTACTAATTACCACTAATGGTAATGGAAATGTGTTACTTTACTTTGTAACTTAACAGAAAATAATGATAAAAGATTATTTTTGTTGTTTCAACAAAAAAACAGCAAATTTTCCAATTTTCAATTGCTTCAAAGATAAGTGAAATAATGGATCCCGGAAATCACAACTGAAATAACATAACAGCTAAAGTATCGATATCTTGAGTGTTAGTGCACTTCAGTTCAGTTTATACTCTTCGTATCTTTGATCGTCAGTGGATTCAGGACACATTATTCAAATAAACGGGACTGTTTGTCTACAAAAGTTGATTTAATCATCAGTAATCACCAAGACCTATGTCCTGACAGAGTCGCTAATTCAAATGTCCGATATCCGCTGCTCTTAAAAGTTAATGTTAGTCCGCGAAAAACTATCTTGAGATTTTTGATATCCGTCTGTTCTTCCACTAAAGAAAAGAATACGTTTCAAGACTTTGAGTCCTTTAAAATGACTGAATTCATTAGTCATTTGTGTAAGAGCCATTGCAGATATCGGTATCAAAGTTGGACAATCAGATTTTGTCATATAAGTGAAAATTGGAAGATGGTGGAGGATGATGAGGGGAAAAGATTTATGTTTCTAGATTTCATTATTTTGACTTCTTTTTTTCTTATAATTGTTCAATAAAGGACGGGGGCGATTATCTGATAAAATCGGCCCATGCCTGAATTTCATCGACTAATCAAAGGATAGATGTAGAATGAAGGAGGGAATACTTCTAGGTACTTACTAGACCTTAGAACCACTCTCAGAAAAAAATTGGTCGAATCAAATTTGATTAAGTTTCTACTGCATCTGATATATATTATAGATCGTAGTTTTGGATCTTTCTCTCCCAGTTTCACACTTCCTCACGACTATTACGTATCATTCGAAAACTTTTTCTTTACTATATTTCTGTATATCACAAATACAGAAATAGTCATTCTGAGGCCAAGTATCTTTAAAAATACTTCTGAGTCAGAAGTTCTGACTATTGAAAATGCTCTCCTACGTGTAAAAAGTCTCAGATATTCTATGTCAACATTTATCGTTCGGCTACTACAATAAATATACCATTCGATAGAGAATTTGTCGAGCTACAATTTGATATATATAATATAGAGAAAAAAAGTGTCCTAGGACACCTTGAAATTAGAAATATTTCTACAAAGCCAAAATTCTGCTCATAATTCTCAATTTTCTTCATCAGAACTCAACTTTTATGCAGTAAAAATATCATATTCGGAATCAGAATCGAAAACTAAGTCGACTAATCTGTATTTCGACATTTTTACTTGACTTGCATTTTTTGGCAAAAATCTCGATAACTTTTCAACTTGAAAATTCGACAAAAACTAAAGTAGTCGGATAGGATGGAAATACACGTCTATAATATATATCAGATACAGTAGAAACTTAATCTAATTTGATTCAACCAATTTTTTTCTGAGAGTGGTTCTAAGGTCTAGTAAGTACCTAGAAGTATTCCCTCCTTCATTCTACATCTAGCCTTTGATTAGTCGATGAAATTCAGGCATGGGTCGATTTCATCAGATAATCGCCCTCGTCCTTTAGATCCCACTCAGATACAATCAAGCGATAAACTGACATTGTTCCTGTTTATACTATCCCTAAATCTGATCACAACATCGTTTGGTGAAAATTGATTGAGCATGTATTGTACGCTAGCCAAAGCATCATAAAGAAACAAATAGAATGACGATTATTTAGAGAAATATAAGCACTATTATGCTATCTATAAATAGAGTTATTAACAGAATATAATTAAATATTAACCAAATGATAAAAGAATTCAAAAGGACACGAATATAAGATTATAAATTTTATAATGAATATCAGTTGTCTTGCTTTTGTATGGTAGTACGTCAGTTAATTTTTGATCAACACTAGTTATTAAATGTCTCAATTATTCACATATATTGTTATGGTTCTTGGAAGAATTGATTGGCAAAAAAAATGTATATCAGACTATTTTTAGCAGCAAAAAAGAAACCAATATATCTGAACACAATTAATCTGAAATAGAAATTAAATGTAAAAAAGATATAAAAAATTAGCATTTAATAGTCTTATATATCTTCTTCAAAAAATAATTTTTTGAGTCTTAATTTTTGTAAGTATGAGCAATTATTCAATAATAAAAGCATTATTTCAATATAATCATCGTCGAACGTCAGTTTACCATGTTCATACGACTGTTTCAATTGTAAATAGAATTTATGTATTATTAATGAATTTTGTTCTATTTCAACTACTAATTTTTTTGATTGTTGATAATTCTCTCCATCATTCGATGTTAATGAACGTTTTAACGGTAACAATACTGAGACAGGTTGAATATCAGTGTCTTGAGCGTTAGGAATTATTATTGAAATCTCTTGACTAAACGAGAAAATTAAAAGGATTGATAATGAAGGAACTGCAAGAAGTAACGATAATAGCAGTATGGTCATGCCGCGTACCGATCAACTTTTGTTTGATTTCAATACCTTTTGTAAAATTCATAGCTTTTCAGTTACGTAATTTAAAGAGTTGGAGAAAGTCTTGTTTTGTAGATTAAACATTTTTCTTTAAAATGACAGTTAGGCAAAGTTCAATCGATGAATCAGTTAAGAGATGGAATGTGTCAAATAAAAGCCATTTCCTACCAAAGTGATTTATTTTTAAAATATTGTACCTTTTAATTTGTATCAATTGAACTTTATCTGACTGTTATTTTAAAGAAAAATATTTAATCTACAAAACAAGACTTTCTCTAACTCTGTAAATTACGTGACTGAAGAGCTATAAATTGTACAAAAGGTGTTGAAATCAAGCAAAAGTTGATCGCTACGTGGAATGATCCAGGAGATGCTAAAGGAATGTTTTAAATATGAATATATATATCAGAGTATATTTTAACAGGTTCACTGACGCTATGTGCAGTCAATTTTAGTTTTTTTTCACAATTTTATTATTTGTCAGAGAAATAATATGTAATTATTAAAAAAGTCATCGGTATCGTTGATTTTGTACTCGGGTAGTACGAGTGGTTCATTAACATCATCTGGTAACACTCACATTCACTCAACTCTGATAAAGTATACCAAATACATAAAAGAATAATAACACAGTAATTATCCCTTTTTTCTGTTGCAAAAAATCAATGAACCTAAGAGTATTTATATTAAGAGTAGGAGTGAGATAGTTCTTTTAAACATGAACCGATCGTTCGTTCTTTTCAAAAAGAACGCGTACTGCCACTAGTTTCTTTAGAACAGAAACTATTACCTATTGTTTATTAGGTAATTTCTAGAAAGTGAATAGACTTCTTTTCCTATGACGTACTGGCTCATTCGCAAGAGAATTATGACTGTTATGATATTTTCTAGCGATGTAATTTGCAATGCTTGCTCATGCGCAATTGAGATCGTCGTCATTGTCCTATTTTTACTATTTTTTGTCTACTTAGCGGATATTTTCATTCTTTGCAATATAAATACGTGTTAAAACATGCTTCATAGGATATATATATATAGCTACACAATAAGTTCCTCTGATTACCGTTATCCTTCAGTGGTGTCATTATTGTGATAAGTAACTCGTCCTTAGACCTGAAACTTAAAGACTTTTCTCCTATGGATAAGGAGCTAACGGTCACAATTCTCTTCCAAATGAGTCAGCACGTCATAGGAAAAGAAGTCTAGAACAACTCTATAGAATTACTTACTTGTTTGTTCATCTTCATTTCTGTTATGTGGAATATCTTGTGATAGAACAATGGTAATTGTTTTCGAACAGTTTGTACTTTTGGTGGTGAAATTCGATAAAGATCAATTTGTGCTGCAATTAAAAAGATAAATCACCAATTGTTCGAATATTTCGATTATAAAAATAGTTTAATCCATCGCTTAACCTCCAAGAAAAAAAGAAAAAAAGAAATATACATTGACGAAAAGATCATATGTGGACCAGGCACGGGCGAGTCCGAGTCCGGACTGGAAGATTTTTTGGCGGACTCGGACTTGGACTCGGACTGGAGATTTTTTTAAAGGACTCGGACTCGGACTTGAGTTTTTGTATTTCGAGTCCGATCGTTTCAAGTTTTAACATAA